TTTGTTCGTGTCGAACAGCGAAAACGTCACCCAGGGCTAGTTTAATGCTCAACATGCCAAGACTATAATCATACCAAAAACTATTGCAATATAAAAATTCACTATGCTATTTGTACGGACAATCGTTTCCTTCAAGACTGTAAGAAACAGAGTAACTTTATACCAGAATGCAGGAGTTGTAAAGTGCAAGATCACAGATCAAATGAAAGACCAAATGTTTGTTCATCCCAAAACTGAAAAATCTAAACCAAACAAAAACAGTAAGAGAACTAAAAGCCCACCTTTAACCAATAATAATAATAATAATAATAATAATAATAATAATAATAATAATAGTAAGAACGCTAATAATAATTTTATTTAGCGAACTAAAGAGTTTCTTCGTCTGTCTTCCACTAATAACATTCCTAATTTTAATCCCCTAACCCATTCACAAAATCCCCCTCCCACTTCAATCAATATTAACGATGCTTCATCAAATAGCTCAGTTAGCAATTCAAATGAAAATTTAGACTTGTGTGAGGTCCAAACTATTTATATTGTCAATTTCTTTAGTCATTTAATTCAATCGTTTCACCCTTCTATAATTGATAATATCGAAACCTTAATTCTGAGCTCTATTTTCCATAATCCAGTGAAATCACCGTGCTTCAACTAAAGTCTAAAATTTTTAAACTGGAACTGTCGAAGTATTCTCAGTAAACATTCTGAATTAAATAATTTTCTGGTTTCACATGATATTGACATAGTATGTTGAACCGAAACTCACCTAATCTCTTCCTTCCTTCTTTTACAGATCAAGGTTATAAATGACACAGTCGTGGCAGATCAGGATATGTTCTAGCAGGTGGAGTATTAATTCTAGTGAAATACGGCATTCCACACTTGTTATAATCTTTCCTAATAACACCAGGGTTAGGAACAATTGCATTATCTATCAAACTTCAGAACGGTAATAATGCAATAATAATTTCAGCATATAATTCAAACAATTGATTGCAACACGTCTTCAAGACATTTTCCGGCTCAAGACTCCCATTATCTTACTAGATGATCTAAACGCAAAACACACTTCATAGGGATGTAGAATAAATACACCAGTCGGAACCAGTCTCTTAAATTTTACAGAGCAGTTAAATTTCAAGGTCATTGCGCTCATTGATCCTACATCCTATATTTTCCTTTTAATGCGAATTAGTCTTCCAGATATTCTAGACATTGTGATAACAAATTTAAATGTTGCACTCAATTTGTATTCTACCTTCGAACTAGATTCAGATCATAACTCAGTGATAACAACCTCCAAATTATTTAGTTCTTTACCTAATTCCCCATCGCATTTATCTACGTACAAAATAAATTGGCATACATTTCAAAATTGGTTAACATCGCTTCTTCCTCCATTTTTAAATCTAACAACTCCAGCAGAAATCGACCAAGGCACACTTTTGTTTATTAACGCCATTACTAGTTCAATTGATTATTCATTTCATTCGACAAGCGCTACTCGCAGATGGCTCTCAAATTATCCAAACTAACAAAATCACCAGACCATGGTACAATTTCTGCAAACATGTTAAAGAATCTGACCAGACAGGGTCTTGTGTATATAAACAATATATCGAACTCTGCATTACGACTATGATATTATCCTAATTCTTGGAAACACTCTGTGGTTGTACCTATTTCGAAGGCTAAAAAATTCAAATCGTTCTTCAAATTACTGACCAATTAGTTTAATTCCAATTTTGTGAAAACTTTTCGAAAAACGTGTAAAAAGTTCATTCTCGACACCAACGTGCTTTCTTCTTTGCAGTTTGGCTTCACAGAAAAACTCTCTACAATCCATCAGTTATAAAATGAACAGAACAAATTAGTACTTTCACATACTTGCAGTTTTCTCAGATGCCCAGGCGTTCGAGCGAGTGTGACATGATGAATT